ATAAACATATGTATTGTCTGTGTTTCTTTTTCTTTTTCCATGTTTGGTATGCAAGACCAGAAGATGTACGTTCTGTGAAAGTGCTGTCATGTAATCCCATGAGGGACGGGCCAAATAAATGGCATGACAGAAAAAAAAAAAAAATAATGAATGTGACGTGGGATTATTTTTTCTTTTATTTTTAAGAGCCAAACACAAATTGTATTTGGTGTTTCCTGTACCTGCAGACTGTGTTTGGACCTTCTCAGCCACTGTAGATACTGAAGCAGACAGACGAGCGTTTGATCAGACGAAGGAGGTGGTGAATGATTTTTTTATTTTCCATGAAGGGAGAATGTTGTCCTGTTTATTATTCACCCCCAGAAACAAAAAAAAATTTACACTGAAATAAAAACAAATGTACAGGTATTTAAAATCAAACTCCCCCTCAGAGTCCCTACAGGTTTAAATACACAGTGTTGTCACATGGTGATTATGTCACTTCCTGCAGGTCTTAGAGCGCAGTTGTCTCTTAATAATCAAGTGGTCACTCTCCTTCTCCTCCTTCACTCCGCCTGACACCTGAAACAGAGCAACAACACTGGACGTTAGAAACACACCTGTGTATTCTACCTTACAACAACGTCCTCCTAACATAATAAGTCCTCGCTTTACAACGTCCCCATAACATAAGAAGTCCTCGCTTTACGCCTTCATAATATAAGAAGTCCTCACTTTACAACAACGTCCTCATAACATAAGAAGTTTGCTTTACAACGTCCCCATGACATAAGAAGTCCTCGCTTTATATCTTCATAATATAAGAAGTCCTCACTTTACAACGTCCTCATAACGTAAGAAGTCCTCACTTTACGTCTTCATAACATAAGAAGTCCTCGCTTTACAACAACGTCCCCATAACATAAGAAGTCCTCACTTTATGTCTTCATAACATAAGAAGTCCTCGCTTTACAACGTCTTCATAACATAAGAAGTCCTCCCTTTACAACGTCCTCATAACATAAGAAGTCCTCGCTTTACAACAACGTCCCCATAACATAACTCCTTGCTTTACAACGTCCTCATAACATAAGAAGTCCTCGCTTTACAACAACGTCCCCATAACATAAGTCCTCGCTGTACAACATCCTCATAACGTAAGAAGTCCTTGCTTTACAACAACGTCTTCATAACATAAGAACTCCTCACTTTACAACATCCCCATAACATAAGTCCTCGCTTTACAACATCCTCATAACATAAGAAGTCCTTGCTTTACAACAACATCCTCATAACATAAGAAGTCCTTGCTTTACAACAACATCCTCATAACATAAGAAGTCCTCGCCTTAATGTAAAAATGTCCCCTTTGACAAAAATGTCCTCAGAAACTAAAACGCTTCACTTTACGATCACATCCTTATGATGTAAAACGTCCTTGCTTTTAAAAAAAATTCCTTATAATGTAAAACATCCTTGCTATACAAAAACATCCTCATGTCAAATGTCCTTGCTATACAAAGATGTAAACATGTCCTCATTTTACAATAACATCTTCACATTGTTAAACCATCCTCACGTCACAAAAATATCCTCATAACTTAAAATGTCCTCACTCCAAAAAATCATCCTCGCTTTACAAAAATGTCACTATAATGTAAAATGTTTTCGCTTTTCAAAAACATCCTTTTTCCAAAATGTCCTTGCATTACAAAAAATCCTCACATTGTAAAAACACCCCGATGTTACTACAATTTCCTCATAATGATATCATTCTCACTTCACAAAAACATCCTCACAGTAAAAAAAAGTCTTAACTTTACAAAAACGTCCTCATATGGTAAAAATGTCCTCACTTTCTAAAATTGTCTTCATAATGTCAAAACTTCCCACTTTAGTTAAACGTCATCACTTTACAATACTGAATCTGTAATTGGTCCTCAAAAAGACAGTCTACAAACAAACACACATTCTTCCTCACCATGTCTGGGGAGTCGAGCAGCGGGGCATCCATCTTAAAAAGCTTCTTCCGTCCTCGTTTCGCTTTGGTTGCCGTGTTAACCGTCTCCTTCTCCACTGAATGTCCACTGACCAGACCAATGATGGTTTTAGCTGCAAAAAAACAGAGATAAAAAAGGGTGAAGACAAACTTTAAATACAGTTTGATGAAAAAATAAATGTCAAATAAAGCTCACAGATTAAACACGGATTCACACAGAGCCTCTGCTGTCAGAGGACAACAGTCCACACTGACTGACAGAAGAGCAGCGCTCTCTGCTGTCTGATGTTGTGACCAACCACAGCACTGAACACAACATAATGCACCCCACTATAAAAAACCAGTACAGACCAGTTTGATATGAATTTAAAGTCACACTGACCTTTGCTGCCCAGGATGGAGGGAGAACTGTGGATCAAGTCTCCGATCTTCTGAAGAGCCCCATCTCTCTTCTCCTTCACCACAGGACAGAGACAGAAACAGGATGAGAGACAGGTAGACAGAAAGGGTGAGAGACAGGTAGACAGAAAGGATGACAGACAGGTAGATAGATATTCAGATACTTAATGACAGGAAGTCTGTCTTCTTTCTTTAAGCATCGTTTGTTCCTCACCTCTTTAGTGGTTCTATTATTTCTTCTCACTCTGTTTCTCTTGTTCTCACTGAACACCAGGTCCTGAAACACACACACCCCCCCCCCCCCCCCCACACACACACACACACACACACACCAGGTGTGCGATGACTGATACAAAAACGTTTAGCAGATAAGCAGAAGTTTGCTGATTTAAAACTAATTAAATGTCACTTTGATAACACAACTCAGCTCACAAAAAAATGTCCTCATGATGTAAGAACACCACACCTCACAAAAATGTCATCACAATTTAAGAAGTCATTACAATGCAAGAAGTCCTCGTAAAAATGCTCCAGCTTCACAAAATGTCCTAGTAGGAGTGCTAGTGCTGCACAATTTGATAAAAATGTGCGATTGCAATTATGGTGGACAATTTCGCGATTTGCGATTACAATATAATTACAATAAAATGTAATAAATAAATTGTATCATGAGTCTTTTTGCTTGATTCAGTGTTTCCCTACATTATATCAGGGGGTCACTGACCTGACATAGTTACTGCAGCGCAGCACGGAACTGTACACACAGCAGAGCAAGCCTGTGTTGTGTTCAGGCGTTGTCACGTAAATGACAAATTCCATCACGCCATAGCACAACACAGCAGCATGTCAAGTGGGCCAAGACCAAGCAAAATTGCTCAATTTTTCATTTGTTATGCAGAGCTTGACTCTAACTTTTTTCCCAAGCAGCTCATGTGCTCCTAAGTTGAAAAAGTAAGGAGCGCACAAAAAACTTCAGGGGCACAATGTAAATTGATCAAATAATGTGTTTTCCGTAATAAACGTGATGCAAATAGACATTTACAAGCAAAATTATTTAATGAATTTGTATACAAAATGTACAGAAAGGTAAAATCATCAAGTTTTCAAAAAGTATTGCAATTTAATTTTGTCTTTAATGTTATTATCTTATATTTATTATCTTTGCAATATGATTATCTTATATAAGGTTATTACTATCCTAAAACATTCTCCAGGTCCTCTGAAACTCTGCAGGACTTATTTCCACCCTGCCCAGCAGCAGTACCGTGGCGAACGGTCCCTAACTGCAGGGAGAACGGAGCCGGTTTCCCCGGAGGTCCACCGCTTTTCCCGGTCCCTCTCAGAGTCGGTCCTGGCTAGTTTTACGCCCTGGGCGAACCATCCCTCCCTATCTTTATAAAAAAATAAATCACTTTTCTATAACACATCACTGATATTTCAATGGAATAAATTACTTATTAACTTATGAATAAGTGATTAACATAGGGGGGATCAAAGTAAAATAAATAAATGAAATAAAAATCAACCAGCCACCCTCCTCCCCTGACAAGTAAAGAACAGTCCCTAAAGTGCGGTGAGGTTTGTGGGCCGTTACCTGCCACAAAGAGAAATGTGAACGGCTCGTTTCTCCTCTGACACGCCACATACCTGTGTGCCGCCACAGCTCGGTTGTCCAGGTACTACTGGGCAGTCATGACACCAACGAAAGAGGAAATTACTGGACCTGGAGTCGGACTTCTCTGTCGCCAGTAAGCTGTTATCTTGCGCCGCAGAGCACTATGAGCCTCCGCCGTATTCCTGTCTGTGACCCCCGTTTCAACCCACAACCGCCAGGATTCGCCTTTCCTTTCTGCTGCTGGTTAAAACATGATAATAGGGGCGCCCCAGAGCCCACTCCACTAACTTGACATGAATTATAACAACCCCAAGTATTATTTAAGATCACTGACTCGGTCCTTAATCCCCCACAGACTGCAGGCATTGAACCATCTCCTGCTATCTGTGAAACCTTTTTAAATTTCTTCATAGAAAAAGTTTCCTCATCCAGAGCTTCAATCACATTTCCTGCCTATGACCCCTCCATCTTGGTCCCCTGCTCTGCTATTTTCGATGAGTTCTAGCCTGTTACTATGTCCCTCCTACAAGAGATTGTTGGCCACCTGAAACCTTCTGGGTCCCCAAGTGACACGGTCCCTCCTCGACTCTTTAAAGAGGTCTTTCCCTCTGTAGGTCCTTCTGTCCTTGCTGTTATAAACAGCAGTCTGCACTCTGCAGTCTTCCCAAGAATGTTTAAACATGCAGTGGTCCAGCCTCTGATTAAGAAACCAGCCCTGGACCCCACAATCCCTGCAAACTTCAGGCCTATCTCTAAACTGCCATTTCTTTCAAAAATCCTTGAGAAAATAGTTTATAGTCAATTAATGGCATTTCTGGAAAAGCACAATATTCTTGAAACCTTCCAATCTGGTTTTAAAAATCTCCACAGCACACAATCAGTCCTACTGAGAGTTTTTAACAACATATTTTTAGCTACTGACTCTGGTGACAATGCCATTCTTGTGCTTTTAGATTTAACAGCTGCGTTTGATACAGTGGACCACAAAATTTTAATATCTCGTCTAGAACACTGGGTGGGTATTAGGGGTTCAGCACTGGAGTGGTTTCGATCCTACTTAGCAGAGCGAACCTTCAGTGTCAACATTGGTGACTTCGCATCCTCTTGTGCGTCCCTCCCATGTGGGGTACCACAAGGTTCGGTCTTAGGCCCTCTTCTGTTCTCTCTATATTTGCTCCCACTGGGGTCCATTTTACGCAAACACGGTATATCTTTCCATTGCTACGCAGATGACTGCCAGATTTACTTGCCCCTTAAAAAGAAAAATGCACCTTCCTTGGGACCACTTTTTAAGTGTCTTAATGACTTAAAGGCCTGGATGGCACTAAACTTTTTAAACTTTAATGAAAACAAAACAGAGGTGATGGTCTTTAATGGTACTGTTAGGACCCCACCCGTTGACTTGGGTTCATTAGCGCAATATACTAAACCAACCATCAAAAACCTTGGGCAAATAATGGATCCTAGGCTTAATCTCGACAGTCAGATTAGGGCAGTTGTGAAGTCGAGTTTCTTTCAACTGAGGCTGCTAGCAAAAATAAAACCTCTTCTCTCAAGGCAACACTTAGAAATGATAATCCACGCCTTTGTAACTAGTCGGCTAGACTATTGCAACGCTTTATATATAGGGGTTAGCGCATCCGCCGTCACCCGCCTCCAGATGGTGCAAAATGCCGCCGCATGCCTTTTAAGTTGCACAAACAAACATGAGCACATTTCCCCTATTTTAACCGCGTTACACTGGCTGCCCATACGTTTTAGGATCCATTTTAAATTTCTTTTATTTGTTTTTAATTCTCTTAATGGCCTCGCCCCACTATACCTCTCTGAGCTGCTAGAGCCATACACTCCTCCACGCCCTCTCAGGTCAGCTGACCAGCTGCTCCTGAAAGTTCCCAAAACGGCAAACAGGCTCAGAGGGGACCACGCTTTCTCAGTTGTAGCACCAAAACTATGGAATGACCTGCCTCTCAACATCAGACAAGTTCCATCACTGCATGTTTTTAAAAAGCGCCTTAAAACCCACCTGTTCTCCATGGCCTTTGATCCCGCATAAATTGATGTCTTTTAATTTGCTATTACTCTTTTTATTGACTAATTTTACTTATGTGCTGTGCCTTAAAATGTTTTATTGGTTTTATATTGTGTTATTTTATTGCAATTTTATGTTTTTATCATTATTGTTTTTATTTTGCTTTGTTTTATGTATATTTTATGTCTTATGCCTATTGTGCACTTTATGTTTAATTGTGTACAGCACTTTGGTCCATTGGGTTTTTAAAGTGCTTTATAAATAAAGTTGGTCTGGTATGGTATGGTATGGTATGAGCGGAAGCCTAGAAAACTGCTGAGTTTTGTTTGTTTTTTTGTTTTTTTTCCCCTCACATAGATTGCGCCCTGGGCAGTCGCCCACATTGCCCATAGCAAAAACCGTCCCTGGTCCCTCTTCTCCGCCACACTTTGACTTATTTCCACCTAGCTGACAGTGGGACTTATGTTCATTGTGTTGACAGTGGCTTGGAAAACCGCCCATAACCGTGTCACACGGGGAATAGGGAAAAGGGAAGGCGGCTGGAGTTCCTCCAACATTTGCGGTTAGATTATCATATTTTTTTATTGACAAAAATATAGGCTGCTTCGGCTGTTTTTTTTATGCGCACTTGTGCCCCTAAATATTTTTTACAGTTCGCACACACCTATTTTTAGTCGCAAATGCGAGTTAAACACTCGCACCGTTGAGCCCTGTTATGGAGTCCATGATTTCCCTGTGACGCTTTCAAATGTTTGCATAATTGTGCTTGGATGTTGTTTATGAGGCTCTGGCGGCTTTCAGTTGTGTCTTTCTCTTTAACGTTACACGGCTCAGCTTTCTCTCGCATGCACTCTTCCTACTTTTCCCTGTGCTGTCTCAAGTGCTGATATAGATTGGTCGTGTAATAGACGTTGCATTTTTTCGCCACCAACTCAGCCTGTTCATGGTCGTGCTCATGCTCTTCTTCAGTGTCTGTGTTGGTCACTGCTGCACGCCAGCTGCACACACCAGGATAGTTTGTGGGCGTGATGTCAACAAACTCAACACTCTACAGGGGGGTATTCCATCAAGCAGGCTAAAGGCAAATCCAGGCTTAAATGGCCAAGTCTGGCTAATGTGAGCCAGAGTTCTGTTCCATCAAAGTGGCTAAGATTAGCCTCACATCGGTAACCATGGAAACCATGGTTCTGGCTAAGCCTGACACATGGAGCGAAACTCTGGTTTCCGTTCCATCAAACTGAGCCACAACTCCGTTCCATCAAGGTGGTTAACCTGAATCCCAGCCTAGTAACCATGGTAACTTATGCTGCCGGGCAATCCTGGTGTGTAGCAGGATTAAGGTGAGGATTAGCTCCATCTATGATCAACAAATGNGTATTGCCTATTTCTTAATCATGTCCTTATAGTCCTCATACACTTCCATAAGGAGCGTTTGCTCCGCCGTAGAAAAAGCCTCCACTCGCTCCTTTCCTTTGCTTTTTGACATTTTGCAACATGTTCGGCACTTGACTAGTGTGGGCTTTTTTTTTTTCCCTGGGCGCGTGCATGAGTTGAGGCTTAACAGGTGAGGCTTGAATTAGTGTCAATTGGAGCCAGCTGATTTCACTTGATGGAACAGGTTGGAGCTAGATTGGGAGTTGGAGTTTAGTCAAACTTCAAGATTGCACCTTAGTCTGGATATTCTTAGTTACGTTGATGGAATACCCCCTGGAGAGGCAGTCACGTTCACAGGCACACACGTTAACATTTATTTACATTAAATCGCAAATCGCAGCCTTTTATGCGGTTATGTAATCGCACAGCCTGACATCGCAATTGCGATTAGATTAATCGTGCAGCACTAGTCCCAACAATAAAAACGTCCTCACAATGTAAAGACCTAATATAAAAATGTCCACACTTTATCTAAAAATGTCCTCACAATGGAAAAACATCCACGCTTTGTGAAAACATCCTCGTTTTCACCTACCTGCACCTCGCATCTCTTTCTCTTCCTTCCTGTTGTTTTGGGGGTCTTCTTCCTGTCAGCCATGTTGGACCTCACAGGAGACATTTGAAAGTCCTGCTCTGAAAGGACACGCACACACCTCTTCACACATGCGCGCACACAGACACACACAGGATAGTTTCAGTAACAATCTATTGATCATTAGCTGATTATCAGTTAATGTTTTATTTATCAGCTCAGTCTCTAAAATGTTTTTCTGTTTCATACCTCAGTGAATTAAAATATTTCTGACAGACAAAAAAAGCCATTTGATGACATCAGCTTGTGTTTTGGGAGACTGTGATGGATGTTGGCGGATTTATTGATGATTAAAATAAGTGACAGTTGCAGCCTGTGCTGTGATTGGATGTCACCCCACCTGCAGGGTGTTTTAGGGAACGTTATAACAGTTTGTTTCATGAGGTATAAAACACACTCACCTCTCTGTTTCCCTGCAGGCTGTTATCTCTCTCCTCCTTCAGTCTTTGTAGTCTCTCCATCTCTCTCCTCACAGCCTCAAACTCCCTGCCCTTCCCGTCCTCCTCCTCCTGCTGCCTCTCCCTCCTCTCCTGGAGTCTCTGGATCTCCTCCTTAAGCTCCTCCACCACTGGCACTGTCCTCTTCTCTGCCTCCCTGTTCTCCTTCTCCTCCTCCTCCTCCCTCCTCTGCAGGTCCTCCTTCAGACGCTCCAGCTCTGATGGAGAGGAATCAAAGAGTTCAGCTTGATCTTCTGATCAGATCATTAATGAAATGTCCTCCACTGTTTCAGGTGATGAAGAGGATGAAGGTACCTTTTCTCAGAGCCTCCGTCTGTCTGTGACATTCTTCTATGAGGTCCTCCTTCTCCGACACGACTTGATGCAGCTCTGACACACACACACACACACACACACACACAGACATAAAAACATTCATCATGAACAGTGGTTCTGCTCTGCTGCTCGTCGTTTGATTCATGTTCAGGATATAACCCTAGAAAACCACTGAATATATTTTTGTGGATTGAGATTCATGTTCTCACCTTCTTTCTCTCTCTCCTGGTTCCTCCTCCTCTCCTCCTCTGATTTCTCCATCTCCTCCAGTCTCCCTCGTAGAGCTCCGCTCTCAGACTCAAGCTCCGCCCTCAGGCTCTGGAGCTGACAGGTGAAAGCTGCTTTCTGATTGGCTAACTCCTCGCTGAGCTCAATACACCTGCTCTCACTGCAGGATGAAGTGTGGATGATATGAAGTATGTACTGATAGTAAATGAGCTGCTCAGTTCTGTTGTATATTAATAAAACGTGACTGATATCAGTATTGATGACTCCTTCTGTCTACCTGTGCATCATAGCTTCCTCCAGCTGGTTCTTCTCTCTCTGCAGATCTTGGATCTGTTGGGATTTCTGAGCCGATCTCTCCAGCGCTGCTTGGCTCTCCTTCTTCAGCTCCTCCATGGCGGTGTGGAAAACACTGCTGCTGCTACTGCTCCGTTGCTCCTCCTCCTGAAATAATCGGAGGAAGTGGACACTGAGTTGAGATTTTCAAAAATTATTTTTTACCCTCTATATTTTAAATGTTAAGACTTAAAGTCACAACACAACTCATCACTCTAAACATATTAATTAGATGAAGATGAAACTTAAAGTCTTTCACCTGCTTTATCAAGCACTATCTTTTTATTTTCAAGGACTTTACTCAAGGCATCTAATTCATTTTAAAGTTTTTTTTATTAAACTATATATGTATTGTGTGTGTGTGTGTGTGTGTGTAATTATCCATTGATCTGGATCAATATATTCAATCATCAAGTATCATTGATGCAAACTGAAAACATCAATCCAAACCATCATGTTTAGGATACGCCTTTATTTTGAAATTCTGTGTCACCATCAAACAGCAGCAGGCAGATGGCGAGCAGGAGGAAGACGATGAGGATATCAGTATTAAATCTGGAATAACTCAGCAGTGTGGAAATATTTTCAATTATGGAGGAAAAATGGGTAAGAGACAAAGGACATGCTGTATGTAAACAATGCTGTTATTAGATAAGATCTGACGTGGCTGCCTGGACAGCATCTCATCCTGCTAACTTCTCACTACAGCGACATTAGCTGCTCTGTTTTAACAATGTTCAGATGAAAAAACCTGCACGCAGGCAGAAATTCAAATAAACTGTTCTGTCCAAACATACAGTGACTTAAACCAACAGTGAGTGACAAAAATAATGGCCAGGTTTCCCAGTTAAGATTGATCTTAAGACTTAAGAGCACAGTTAAGAACTTCTTAGCTAAGAAGGGTCGCTATGATAAAAGTGTTTCCCCAATGCCTTCTTAATGCCTAGGTCTTAAAGCTGACCACTGCCGCGGTGCTAAAACTAAATCAATCAATGTCAGGCAAATCTATCACCCACCACTTAAAGTGTGGTCACATATGTATACTATCAGATATTAATATATACTTTCAACATATTGTACCACAACTAGGGCTGTCAACGAATATTCTAAATTAGAATTTAAATTCGAATTTTAAAAAAAAAAAAAAGAGCTTCGAATGTCAAAATTGATATTTGATTGTGGAGAAAAAAAAAAAAAAAACACCACCGCAGCTGTCCTCTTTGCGAGTGGGAGGTGGGAGTGGCCACGGAGCTGCGCAGCGCAGCCAGTGTGGATGACACAATCGGTTAACATGGGCGCCGAAAGGAAACTGGCTTCGCTTCGAGGCGCTTCAAGGCTATTCGCAGCGCTTCCGCGGGCAGTGTGGCCTGACGGGTCGGGGG